GATTTTGTCTTAATCAGGGGTTTGCATTTTGTATGTGTTCTCCTTGTGGAGTTAGGGTTCAATTTGCTTTGCTATTTATTTAGGTTAATTGGGGAATTATTTTTTTGTATGTGTTCTCTTATGGATCTACATTGAATCCACTGCACTTTGCTTTCTATCCCAACTTTTTCTTTGGAAAAACTCAAATTAATGTTAGGGTTTTCTCAAATATTTTGTTCAAAGATATTGTAAAAACTTTTTCTCGAGAGCTTGAGAAAAGTTAATTCTCACAACATTTGCTCAAAAGTTTCTCCTAAATGTAATTTCTCAAGAATTTTGCTTACACGTTTTTATCCTTCCATTGTTTGTCAAAGAAATTTAGAGTTGATTTGCATTTTACTTGAATTTCATAAGGAAGAGAGGGGGCAATCTTTCTAGAAATGATAAAAGGAAGGGATAAATTGTTTGATGCTTTATAGGAATGAAATCATCGCAACTATTTTGTTGGTATAGGGATGTGTGAGGCTAAGGTAATGCACTAGTGTGTATAACATCCCTGCAAAACTATGTAGGATCGAACTCACATGCACGAGAGTAGTGAGGTGGTCATTTCACAGTGGATCTTATAGAGGCATCGATGACTTCATTAGGAAAAGCAAGGACCAGTGAGAAAGAATGTAGAGCAATGTATAGGCGTCATTTAGGAAGAAATCTAGTGTTGCAGGCTATCTTGTGTTGCTGCTTCCAATTGTGTACGAGTGTAGTATACAATTTAATAACCAAACATCATTATATTTATGAAAATTGTGTATGCTATGTGCACTTTGTTCCCACTATGTTAAGCTAGATGTGCTCTATAAAGGATCAACACTAAGTGTATACCAGATAAATCAAATACGAAATTATGGTTGAAACAATCATTTTTTTTGCAATAAAATTAGCCAAACAACATATCTTGTTCAGAATATTATAACTCTCTATTTTAGCTCTAAGATGAACTATTGCATCTAGATCACAACTATTGCAGTAAGATGCACTACTGATTGAAGTATGCAGGTAGTAGGGATGAAAGCGGTCGGGAACGGTCGGAAAAACACTATAACCATTTCCGCTACTATATTTTTTATGCGGGAACGGTAACGGTAACGGGAAGGCCGGTCGGGAAAGCGAAATCGGAAATGCGTGATGTCGGAAACGATACATTTCGATCGGGAAAAAGTCGATAACGATCGGGAATCGGTAATCCAAATCGGGAACGTCGACGCACATAACCACTTCAACCATTCAACTTAACACCAAGGTTACAACCATGTATAATACATAGGCAAAATGTACCGTTGGTAAGTATATAACACTACAAATAAGTCCACCAATTTATGAACACTAGTGACTTGTTATGTTTGCGTTGCACATATTCATGCATGAGTAAGTGACCTATGATTTTTTACGTGGCATATGCTAATAAAACAACAGCAGTGAGTCAACTTTTTAATTGTCATGAAATACTTCAAAAAACTAAATGAGAGACTTGTAAAGGAAAAAGGAAAGCGCACATGCATACTTCAGCTTATCTACGAGTTCAATGAAAAAGCAGAAGTGGCGGTTGCGTCCATCACATCCAAGAGGGATTCTTGCAGCATCAAATCATTTAGCATATGTTGTAGGCACAGCAAATAAAATAAAAAAAGGAAAATGCACATGCATACGCATGGCCTTAGCGGCGTGCGCAGCGCGCTCAACAGGCAGGCGCTAAGGTCGCTTTACCTTGGTAACGGCCCATTACGGCCCAGCGCGCGGAGCCAGCTAGGGAGGGGGGAGCTGCCGCTTTTAATAATTGGACTCCCGGCCTCCAGAGATAGGGATGGAAACGGGACACCAGACTGTCGGTAACCGAATAAATCCGGCAAAAAACAGGAAAATTTGGCAGCAAACGGGAACAGAATCGGTTGGGCTTGTTTCCCGACCGAATTCACGGATCCTGTTTTTTAACGGAAAAATTCCCGTTTTTCTTGTTTAATTTCCGTATAAATTTTATTTTGTATTATTACTTAGCTGTATAGAGCAAGGAGCGCTCCTGTGTTTTTCTCTGGAGGCCGGGAGTCCAATTATTAAAAGCGCCGGCTCCCCCCCTCCCCAGCTTGGCTCCGCGAGGTGGTCTTAAACTTCAGTGTGCGCCTGGTGTAGTGGTGCTTGTTGCTGCTGTGAGTGCTGGGCCGTAATGGGCCGTTACCAAGGTAAAGCGACCTGAGCCCCTGCCTGTTGAGCGCACTGCGCACGCCGCTAAGGCCATGCGTATGCATGTGCATTTTCCTTTTTTATTTTTATTTTTTTTGCTGTGCCTACAACATATGCTAAATGATTTGATGCTGCAAGAATCCCTATTGGATGTGATGGACGCAACCAGCCACTTCTGCTTTTTCGTTGAACTCGTAGATAAGCTGAAGTATGCATGTGCGCTTTCCTTTTTTCTTTACAAGTCTCTCATTTAGTTTTTGAAGTATTTCACGACAATTAAAAAGTTGACTCACTGCTGTTGTTTTATTAGCATACGCCACGTAAAAAATCATAGGCCACTTACTCATGCATGAATATGTGCAACACAAACATAACAAGTCACTAGTGTTCATAAATTGGTGGACTTATTTGTAGTGTTATATACTTACCAACGGTACATTTTGCCTATGTATTATACATGGTTGTAACCTTGGTGTTAAGTTGAATGGTTGAAGTGGTTATGTGCGTCGACGTTCCCGATTTGGATTACCGATTCCCGATCGTTATTGACTTTTTCCCGATCGAAATGTATTGTTTCCGACCTCTCGTATTTCCGATTTCGCTTTCCCGACCGGCCTTCCCGTTACCGTTCCCGTTCCCGCATAAAAAATACAGTAGCGGGAATGGTTAGAGTGTTTTTCCGACCGTTCCCGACCGCTTTCATCCCTATCCAGAGAGCCACAGGAGCGCTCCTTGGTGTGTGACACGAGCTGAAGTAATAATACAAAATAAAATTTATACGTGAATTAAACAGGAAAAACGGGAATTTTTCCGTTAAAAACAGGATCCGTGAATTCGGTCGGGAAACAAGCCCAACCGATTCCGTTCCCGTTTCGTGCCAAATTTCCCTGTTTTTTGCCGGATTTATTCGGTTACCGACAATCTGGTGTCCGGTCGGGATAATACGGCATTCGGTGCCGATCGGGACAGGAAATTCCCATCCCGTTTTCATCCCTAGCAGGTAGATAAACCTTGAGGTTTTCAACCAAGTTTTTGTGGTTATCTAGATCCATGCCGGTGACGGCAAGTGCCACCTCCAAGCATGCGACAAGCCAACCACTGTAGGGTGCATCTCAACATCCTCATCCTTCAAATCAGGGACATAGACTTCAATCTCTAACTCTATGGTAGAGTCGTTGATGTATAGGACATCGTCGGTTTTCCAGCGAAGGCCACTGCGGTCTCTATTCTACACTCCACCATATCCAGAGGACTTGAAAGGATTGATGTCTAAGAGGGGGATGAATTAGGTCACTTAAAAACTAACGACCTCTAAAATCTACTTATCAAAACATATGCAAGATATTATCTGAATGTGTAACTAGGGTTTGGTAAGTGTTGTATCTCTACCACAAAAGAGTTAAGCAACCTAGGTTCCAATCCTATCAGTGATAGTCATTGTTCTTACATCATGTCACATTCTTCGACTCGTCCTTGCAAATAAGGAGGTGATTAAGCTCATTATTAAGATAGTTGTTGATATGATGGGCCTGTTTGGTACAACTTATAAATTGTTTATGGTCAAAATAAACCAAGTCAAACAACATACTTTTTGCAAAATTTTTCCGCCATAATTCTCCTCATGCTCCTATTTGTCCTAAAACATAGAAAGCAGACTAGACCAACTTATTTTGGTAGTGTTTTTCCTTCATTTTGCAACTCCTTAGGGAAGTGCTTCTCCCATAGCCAAACAGGACCGTTATCTAGGCCATCTCCCTCATCAACTTGGAAAGTAGTAATTAGTTAGAAAATAAAAATAAAAAAAATACATATTGGGCATATATGTACAATCATAAGTTAGATAAATTTAAATTGTTCTATCTAGTCTTTTATAACATGTTTCATAGGTTTAATATTGAACGTTAGATGACCATACAATCTAATCTATCCGTTTAAACTGTTTTTTTATTAATCTTGTAATTTCTAAACCTCCTTTTGGCAACATATGACAAAGTATTCTCATGTTCTAACTCAGAAAAGCACCAATTCATCAATACTCTGCATCCAAATAGGAATTGAAATTAGGAGGTTTGTTAAAGTCTAACAAGCAATCTCTAGCGCCATCCAAACATCCTCCATATTAGAATCACACAACATTTCCAATACAACTGCGTTTGGAATTGGGCCTCCATTTCTATGAACACAATTCAATCCAAACGGAGCCTGAATAGAGTTAGGCAGGGCAGGCCCAGGCCTAGGGCCAGCAGGCCCATGGGCCTAGTCGCGGCCCAAATTTGTTAGGAACAGGTCTTCAGTTTGGCCCAACAACGAACAGCCCAATAAAAAAGAGAGTAGGGCAGACCACGGAATCACTCGATTGCTCACGCCGTCGCGCGCTGCTCGCGGCTCTTCCGCCTCCCGCTCGTATCACGCGCCGCTGCTCCCGCCTCCCGGTCGCACCTCGCACTCGTCGGCGCCGTCGCGGCGGCACCCAGCCCGCTCGGCCCCGCGGCCTCTTAGCAAAATCCTGGTTCCGCCGGGTGGCTGAGCTTCAAAATTCCGCCATCAGGTCGGGCGACACCGCGGGTCCAGGGGGCAAGACACGACTCGAACCCACCAAAAACCCTCGCCTCACTTGTCCCCTCGCCTCGCTGCGTCCTCCCTAGCTGCGGCGCGTCACTAGGACACGGAGATCCAGCGGCGATTCCGGCGATGGAGTACGTGAACCCTCTCACCGGCTTCCGCGTCGACGGCCGCCGCCCCAACGAGGTGATGCCTCCTCCCCCGCTTTCCCCCTCGCGCGGTTCATGCGCCCAACCCTATCTCACCCGGCGTTTGACGTCAAGCAGATGCGGCAACTCAAGGGCGAGGTCGGCGTCGTTGCGCGCGCGGACGGGTGAGTAAGGTTCCCCTCCTCCGATGAACGAGAGCGAAACGAATGACTATTCGATTAGGATTGCGGACGGCGGTACGGCGCTCGCTTTTGATCGTTTCTGCTGTTTTTTTGTTGTTGTTGTTGCTCTGTGCAGGTCGGCGCTGTTCGAGATGGGCAACACCAGAGTCATCGCCGCCGTCTACGGCCCTCGAGAGGTGATTCCCCTGATCCTATTTGTGTATCTCGGCGTGCATGTGTGAATCGTGATACATAGGTCATGTGCACCACGTGTTCGAGGAAATGTCTCTCAGAAGCCTACATTTAGTCGTGTTCTGTTTGGTCTATAGTTGAATTCTCTGAGCCAACCTGACCTTAGTTTATTCTTCAGGGGTCTTTTTCAGTGAAGTGGGGATCATATGGAAAAACTAGTCTATTGTTTACATTCTCTATATGCACGAAGAGTGTTTGAAAACCACTAGGATCCACAATGGTCTCTGGACAGTAAAACATTATTTGTTTATACACACTGTTCTTTCTTGAGATATACTGGAGAACTTTTATGGAAATTTCAATCACTCGCGTTCTTTCCTTACTGTCATACTACAACACCAGGGAACCCTGAGAGTCATAGGGCTTAACCTTCTATTGCTTTCGTACCTCCTTATTTTCTTCTTCCCGTTGTCAGGAAGAGCAATTTAATTTTCAGTGTAACCAAATAACTAAAAGTTCATGCTCTTGGATTGTTCATTCAGGTTCAGAACAAAGGTCAGCAAGTAAACAGCAACGAGGCTTTGGTAAAGTTTCACTGCCCAAGTGCATTCTTTAGAGGTTGTCCTTTCTGATGTGTTCCTGAGAGTGTTCTGTATGCAGGTTCGTTGTGAGTATAGGATGTCAGAATTTAGTACAGGAGATCGGAGGAGAAAACCGAAGGGTGACAGGTACATTCCAACTTGAACACAGTAAAATTTGATTAAAAAGAACAGCCCAGTCCTTGGGCATTCACAGCTTCTGGTTCATTTACTATCAGAATAGATTTTTGACGTGGCAAATGTGTATTATTTTTCTCTCTACCTTATCAACAAGCTTCTTTTCCGTGCATCCTGTGTTTTCAAAATCACAATTGACTTTCCCAATAGAGTAAAGAATCCTCAGTAAGCGTATTGCTGTCAGATGTTTTTATGGATGGCCTTGTTGGCTGCACATGCCAATGTTGCTAGAAGCCTGACATGTCCAGCCCATCGCAGCAGCGCCCACAGATGCAACAGAGGATTAGCGATGGGATTAGTTGGTTTGTTTTGTTTCTTCAGAGGAAAATTAGCTTGTTTGGTAGTCAGTTTGTTAGATTGGTTTCTTAGGCACTGAGCTCTCAAAGGCATTGGCTATTGAATTTAGCAAGCAAACAGTTGTCCCTAATTCATCTAACCTGGCCTCCACCTCTTGAGAGGGTGAACTTGCCTCCACCTCTTTGCCTAATTCCCCAATTCCCAGGCATATTGGTAATATAAGTTGTAATTCAGTGCCTTGATCTTATTCTTTTCTTAGTTCCTTTCTCCGCTTGTTTCTTTTTTTTTTGTTCCTTTGTGTTTGTACTTATGAACTTTTCTCTCTATATTCTAATATGTTATAATCATCAGGGGCGTGCCCTCCTGTTATCCATTAAAAAAAGTAGGTCATGGTTAAGATCAGAAATTTCATGAGTAGCATCCAGCGTAATAAACAGTGCTGCATTGCTGCAGTACAATTTAGTTGACTTGCTTTATTTGCTGTTGGGGTGAACACCCAATGCGCTAAAATAGATATAAGTTGCATGAACTAAAGTAGCGTAACTAAAGTGGATTTAGCTTGAAGGTACATGGTGTTTCATTTCCCATATAACTATGATAGTGAACTAACACTACAATCAT